CGACAAAGCGAGCCCCGCTCCGCAAATGTTGTGATATTATTACCGAAGTGCAGGTGAATTAAACTCCTAAATTAAACGAATCGGTGGGCCAGTTCCGAAGTGGAGTACGGAGGAGCCAAGAGTCGCGGAACTCCTGAAGAAGCTCGACGCAAAGAGGGTAGAATCAAGGGAAAGATGAAATTCATCGGGCTCCCGGGGGCGCAAATTAACTTCCCGTGTCTATTTAATAATCTTGCACGGTACTTTATGTGTACATTAATTAAATGAATCCGAGTAGAAGGGCGGAACCCCGCCGCCTATTCGGTTTTATTTCGGTACCGAGGTAACGATTTCGATGCACCATCCGGCACGATAAATCTTGGCGGGATGAACGAGATTCGCTCGATTATGGCCATGATATCGCGATATCATTACCAAGGCGCAAATGATTTTACTCCGTAAACCGATTAGCCAATGGGCTTCGGAATGCCATTTTCGGATATTTTCGAAAAATTCACCCGCACCGGAGATCACTCGATTCCGCGCGGACTTCATCGAATTTTCATATGCACGCGATGGGCAACGGCACCTCCATGTAAATACGCGTCACTCTCAAATTTGATCGGAACGTCAATACACGAACCGGTTACGTGCACGGCAACGAGTTTTCAGGGGCGCACGCGACTTGCCCATAGTGCAAGAATAGCATTAAGCGCTTGCAATTCTATCGAAACGAGGGCGTTTGCACGTTCGCGCCAAGGATTAAAAAAAACCATCGAATGTTTCAAAGATCAACAATTTTTGGAGAACCGACATTCCCTGTAACCACCTTAATCAAAGACCCTCGTGAATTACGGGAAAAAAAAAAATTAATTTTCTCATCAATTTGCATTTGAAAATCACAATTATGGTCCTATCCTCCAGGGCGCGGATCACCTGGACAGGGGGGTAATTTGGTGATATAATTCGAAAGTACGAAAATGTGAAAATGTGAAAATGTGAAAGTGTGAAAGTGTGAAAGTGTGAAAAGGTGAAAGTGCGAAAATACGAAAATGTGAAAGTACGAAAGTGCGTAAGTGGAGGCTCCCCGAAAACGCGAAACATCGGGACAGGTGACGAATCCCGAGCAAGGGGGTGGGCCAATTAGAGGGAAGGGAGGATTCGCCGCGATTCGGAAAGGCAGCTGGTAGTGACGGAACGTCACGGCTCGCGTAATTGGAGCTCGCGCCTCTAATACCGACTCCAATTACGCTAGGGTTCCTTCCGGGGATGCAGGGAGCGTAACCGAGGGAAGAGGCGGTCCTCGAGTGCGTGGAGATCAATTTTCAGCAGACTCGATGGACGACCCGGTAATTACGCTTTAATGCCCTCTCCTGCACGAGGAACAATGTTTTCTGATCGGGCGGACAGAGCCGAAGAGCGCCCGGAAGATCTCCACCGAGACTTGCCAGACCCGACCTGGCCTTTCTCCAGGAGAAAGATCGCGACCCTGCTCCTATTGTCGGAATTTTAATGCAACTAATGGCTCCACCGTGTCGCGTGAACGTTGAAGCTAGTACCGCGACTTGAAGAGATATGTATGAAAAAAGGGGAAATATGTCAGGAAAAAAAAAAAAGTCACCCGTTAGCAGCTCTGTCAAACAATTGTCGAAAAATGGTGTTCTGGGGACTTGTACCCTCGAGTGGCGAAAATAGCCAGTTTGAAGTTTTCGGAGCGGCCATTTTGGGGGGTCAGTTTCTTCGTATCGCTCGGCGCGACTTTCGACGTTGATTCACCTAAGAAGTTAGGCTCTTATCCGCCGAGTTTATCCCGCTTGAGAGACCATTACGTGGGTTTACTCTTTTCCTGTAAACAGCTGCGGGCCGGGTTTATAGTTCGGTAAGATCGTTACAAAAATACCCGAAATGCTCCAAAGTGAGTCGCGAGACCTGACGGAAAGTAACGACGGAGGCCCGAGCCAGAAATCGCGAAGTGCTCTCTTCTCCCGACTCCCGAAATTTCTCTCCCGGGAGAAAAATACAATAAATATGGATCTTTTTTTAGATCTACGTATCGGGGAATTAAAGTCGAATTGGAAACCCTTGTTGTATGGCGGGATCCATTTTCCACGAGGGGCTCGCCGAAGACAGGGATCCCGACTTAAGTTGTTACTCATTCGCCTATGTAGGATACGTCTATCAAGAAGATTGACGGACGCTCCGTGTCTCGAAATACACTAATGGGAATGCAATGCAAATTTACTGGCGTGGAATAACAATTCGAGGAATTTAGATAATGTTATAATTCCTCGGGTTTATCGCCCGACTTCGGGCTTACGCACAAAGGGGTATCTGTCTGCCATTAATTCTCAGCCGTGGCAAAAGTTATTTGTTATTTCACAAAGCGCGTCCTGGTGCGGAGGAAATTTTTCGTGTTTGTTAGTAACGTCGAAATATATCTGCGGCATCGAGGCTCGAGAATAAAGAAAACTATGTCGAAGAGCAGATATTTTTATTGAAAACGTGTCCGAGGTGGTAGAGGACGTTCATTTAGTTTCCTGACATTGGTCGGTCCTATGTCTCGTTAATTAATCTTTCAGTGTTTCACGCTGGCTGTTATTACTTCGGATCGACCAATCGCATCCTCCACCACGGCGTAAATAATTTAAATTAATTTCGGGTATCGTCCGGAATTTTTTTCGCCGATCCCTGCCACGTCGGGACGCAAAATGCCCGAAATGTCGCTCCCCGACGTTTACCTACGGCATTTAATTTCGAAGCAATCGGAGATACGTAAACTTTAATTTACCAACCAATCAAATTATCCTCAAGTTTAATTAAATCGCAAACTGCCGATGGACCGAGGATCCATCGAGAAAATAAAAAAGAAAATGCGCCCCTTACCTCGACCCAGAAAGACGGGACAGTCGATTTTCGAGTAATTAACAAAACGATTAAACGAAAATATCGAGAAGTAAAATATGCCAGACACGATTAAAGTGTCCCAGGGTTGATCGGGGCCCGACAAGTGCACCCCCCTTTATCAACTCCTACAATTTCCAGTAATTAAGGGAACTACGACGAACGAAAAAAATTCCGTCGTTAATTTCCAGATGAGCCCCTCCGTTAGATTTTCCAGAAAATGGCGGCGGTTTTTCGGGGGTAACTTTTCACGACTCACCCCCGTCGGCCGGAGAGACAACGAGGACACTCGCCCACCGTAAAATTGGTATGTCGCGCCCCTCGTTATTGAATAATTTCCGAGCAGGTGGCCCGCGCAAAAGTATTTGTTTCTATTTCAAGTGTTAACGAGCTGGCACGGGCGGCGGTGTTCAATTCCAATGGTTGGCAGAGAGAGAGAAAAAGGGAGCGAGAGGGGGTCGGGCGGGAGAAGGAGGCCGAGAGAAAGTGTGTTTTTCGCAAAAGCGCGGAATTCCGCGTTTCCCGAAATTCTCCGAGGGCGGATTCACATGACCTGGCCAGTTTGCCCCGATCCGTTCCGGAATCATCTCAGGGCGTGACGTACTCCCCTAACTGGAGCATCCCTTATCCGGTCGTGTGTGTATCGCACCCCCACTCGACGGGGCTTGCCGCTCTTGTGGGGCTGTGTTCGAGTGTCAATTGCTTTTTGAGAGAGTACAGGCCCGAGAGTGCTGCCTCTCGATGTCGGTCTTACGGCAAAACCATGTTGAAGAGGTGGTGCGAACTTTGATGCTTGACGCCATAACCGGTACGCGATGGAGGATCAGCTGATCGCTTCAAAGCGGGACGAGATAACGTCCCAAGAAAATTAATTAATCCAATCACCAATAAAATTCGTCATCCCAATGTTTCCTACACCGATGAGAAATTTCGCCCTTGGAGGTGCGGGGCTCTAAGATGCCGAATTAAATTCTTTAGAAAATTTATCACTTATTAGAAAATAAGATTTATGGAACAATGAGGGAATTTTCCTCGGTACGCGGTCACTGGCGCGAGCCTCAAAGTCTGCACTTGGTGTCACTTAATGTTACGTCAATATTCATCCGAATGCGGCAGTCAGGTGGGATCTATCGACCGATGGGTTCGACCCTTCGGTGATAGCGGGTGATAAGCACGCCCGATCGCCCTTGTGGGTCGCTGCGCGATACAACTCGGCGATTGAGAATTCTCCCGTGCCTCGGCCATTCCGTTCCATTCCCACGACACCGTTCCGTACTTGTTGAGGATTAAGAGCGATATCGGCCAGAGCTTGTCCAGGCTAGTTCCGAACAGTTCCGAGTGCTCCCCCGGAAAGACCGATCCTTGCAATGACGATCGCCAGCGATTATGACATCGATCGGTTCTCGTATGATATCGCTCGGTATGACATCGATCGGAATGAATCGCAACGTCCGATGAAAGGCACGTCATGGGAAAAAAAAAGAGATATCTAACAAGTAGAGTATCCGATAACTCTTACTACTCGATATCCCGGAAGTGCAACTCCCCTGCAAGGACTGCGAGTCGAGCTTTTAATAGGATATCAGCTGGGAGATAAATTACGGAATATCCCTGATTGGATGTCAATAAATGAGCAATTTATTTCATTACTTTCGCTTCATTTTTCGGCTCATCGAGGGAATGTGAAATTCGCGTCCAATTAACATTTTCCCTCCGGGTGGAATTTTTCCCTCGGCATGTAACGTCCGGTTAAATGATGCATTGTGTGCCAGGGGCGGATGCCCGAAATTCTCGGCTGATTCTTGAAATTCGAGTTGACCGTCTCGCCTTTTTTTAATTAACAGCTCGCGAGAAGTTTGGATGGCGATAATTCGCGCCGAGTGGAAGATCGACGGTAGGGGTAAAAGTGGAAAAAATGTGGAAAAATGGGCAAAAAATCTCGACCAGGGGGAGCGACTAGGGCCGGAAGTACTCGAGGCACAAACGCGGAACGGCGGAAAATTGACGGAATAATTCTCAATTCGCCGGTGCTCTTTGGAACTGGTCAAAGCGCGGCGCGAATCGTCATAGATCGGGAGTAACATCAAAAGTACACGAATAATGATAAAAGGGAAACTTACCCAGCGTCGGCGAGGTGTAGTCCCAGCTCTCGGCATCGTTCTTGTAGACGTTGAGCTTCGTGGGCTGTAAAGAGAGAAATGAAGGGAAACGTTACACGAGCTCGACGAGAGACATCTGTCGTGGGAAACGTGAGAGATCGTTTGGGCGCACTAATTTGCCGAGAGAAAAAATAAATCACCCGGGTGCACGAAAATACGAGAAAAGGGAAAGAAAAAGAAGAAACCTGGAAGCATTCCTCCACTTCATCCCAGTTTTCTACGACCTCGATGCAGTAACCGCCCATCTTGCGGATCCGAAATAGGATCAAAGATAAGGGGGTTAATTTAGGGTTGACAAAGTGTCCCCGACTAAGAGACACATTTTTTTTCGCCGGTTTCACCGCACAACGTTAACGAGCACCGCGAACCGCGCTCCACCTCGCTGGCTGATAAGTGGAAGGGCCTCGAAAAAGGTCGCAAAAAATATTGGAGATTTTTTTTATAAGTTTCGGAAATTCCGAAAATGTTTTCCCTGCCAGGGGGTTTCCCTGGTCGCGGGATAATTCTCCCAAGCATTTTCGGGACGCATTCCGAGAGCGCTTTGGTGCTTTGGTAATTACTCGGGGCGTACTTGCGCTGATGAGCTCTACAGTCCGAGATATCTCTCGCAAGCCAAAGCCGTGCCTTTCGACCGAGTCGTATTTATACCGAACAGCTGTTCGGATCTTCTCGCGTGACAATCACGCCTATACGGATCACCTTTAATTGAGAATTCGTCTGCAGGACACAGGAACGCCTCTGTCGACCGGCGCGCTCATTGGGTCGCCGGTGCTTAATTCCAACTCGGTCCCCCTTTATTATAATAATTTATCGCGGCAATATGGCAAACGCTCCAGGCATTCGCACTCGGGCCGCGAACGCGCGAGTCGGGCTCAAAATTTCCCAGAGAGACTCTGGAGTCCCGAGGGTGCAAAAAGGAAGTCCCAAAGCGAGTCGGACCTTCTTGCGCGAGAGCTCGGGGGAAAAAACCGCGGCCGCGATTAAACGTCCGCGGAAAATATCCCGAGGAATTGTCCGCGATGCGAGGAAAAATTGCGAGAATGCAGACGACCGAAACGAGACCCAAGGAAAAAATACAGAATGCCAGGAAAAGGGTCCCTTTCTTTTTTAGTGGCGATTTTCCCGCAGTAAGTACCCGATATGTAAAGCGAGTGTCGGCGCGATAATACGTCCCGTGATAAATGACTTCTGACTTTCTGAATATCGCAAATAATAGGCGCAATGCACGGAAGTGCACGCGGTCCCCTCCACCCCTTATCCCGGGGCTCTCGGAATGATAATTTATGTCACGAATAACGTACCGCTAATTTCCTAACACAATGGCCCCGCGTCGATTTGCATCTTTCCGCACTCGGAGTGAATAAAAATTGGGTCAAAAAGTCCGCCAGGCGGGACCATAAATCCCGACTCGATACTCGGGCAAGAAAAAATGCGCGAGGGCAGGGGGGAATGCATTTCCAAACTGCGCCCACCAAGTAGAGTTTTATCGTAGCAATAATTGCGGGGGAAAAAAAATGGGGCGAAATTTCCTCGTTATTCCCGCGTAAACGGTTGATTTATACACGGTCATGGGAAATATTGCGTGCAGTTAAAAACCACCTGGCGTGCACTCGATGCGTCAATGGAAACGGAAGCGAACGGTGGAATTAGTTTAGTCGACGAATTTCCGCGAATTTTATTTCTCCCCCTTCCCCGGGTTGGTTATACATTCATTTGATTGCATTACAAAATATCTCATGTTTCGAACCGCAGGGGGCAACGAGGATTTCTCGATACGTGTTTTAATTGATTTAAACAAAACATAAAAATGCCAAACGAGACGCATCCCTCCCGACGTCCCGAATCATTGTCTCTTCGCGGCTCGAGTAAAAATGCCCAGAAATTAAATAAAAAAATAAATTAAAATGTTTAGAAGAATCACTAGAGAGGCAGAGGATCCTTAAGGGCGAGTATCTTCCCATTTGCAGGGGATAAAATCTCAGGACAAGCGACACGATCGAGGCTCGCCAGCATCCCTTGGTACATGGAGCTCTGTTCCCCGTGCTCGACTCTTGTGCCTCGTGCTCCACATTCCCTGCACCTCGTACATGTCCCACGACCTCGAAGGGGTATTTCGAAAGAGCCCAGGAAGGGTGCAGAGGACGAAAGAGCCCAGCAATCCACGTTCGCCCAAGTTGGAAGCTACCGGAGAGTCGAGAAAGGTCTGGACCCGTTTCGACTCCCCTGCCCCTGCTGGGAAATTAATTGGAGGCGCGCAATTCCAGGACGCTAATGAGTCGCGAAAGTCGACGGAGCGTTCCCACCGATCGGCAATGCCGATCTGGAACGGCCAAGGATTTTCTGCCTCTCTCTCGCGCGGAATCTCGCCTCGCCTCTGGCCTAGGACGTACTCTGAATTACGACTGCTCGATTGTGGGGAACGCACCGAGCATGCCGGCATTTACGAGGAGCTTTTCTCTCGTCCCACGAGCCGACAAGCCCGAAAAGGCGAGATAGTCCCGCGTTAAAGATACGCCCGATAAAAGCGCCGCGGAAAGAGGAGACCGCGCGCCGGATGAGCCTTTCGGAATTTTCCACAGGAAATTCGATCGACGAATCTCGGGGCGGGATCTTTCCTCGCGCTCCCGGAAGGTTCTTCCACGTGTTCCCTTCGAGAGGAATCGAAAGTGCCGGGAGGCAATTTATTGGAGGCGATTGCGCGTTAGCTGTAACGCGAGAGAGATCACTCGAGGTGCAAGGTGGCGGTCGTGTCGGGGCAACTCGACAATTTTTTAGCGTCTTACGGTGAGCGGTTTTAAATGTTCTCTGGACAGAAGGTAATTCCTCTTGTATTGTGCACTTTTATTCATAGGAGAAAGCCTAGAGGTCCCGGGGAATGGAGAGCGAGCCGGCGCTCGTGGGAGCTTTCCATAGAGTATCGCGGATCGATCGCCGGAGAAAGACGAAACCGATCGCGTTCGATTGCAAATGTATGGGAGAGAATCGGAGACGGCGGCCGCTAAAGGGAAATCGCTTTTATTTTTCGTGCGGCCGACTGTTCGATGTGTGCAAATTGGATCCATGAATGCACGACGGCTCCGGCCGCGACAGCTTGTTCTCGTGTCGGCCTCCTGGTGTGATGTATTTTCTGAGAATTCAGATTCCGGGAAGGAGAAGGTAATACCGAGATATCGATTGCGCGGAAGAAAGACCGCGATGGCCGTCTCGGGACTGAATTTGTAACGCTCCGTATCCGCGTTTTCATTTTTCCTCCGTCGACATTTGTCCCGACAGTGGGACCTTTTTTCGTTCTGGATGTGACGCACAGGAAAAAAAAGGAATATAAATTATTTCCACCGACTAGCCGCCCTCGAACTGCAGCCAGATTTTTCTGGATGATCTTTTTATTTTTTTTTTATACAAACTGCGGTGGGAAATATTTTTTGACGGTATTTTTAAATCGCCGTGGAGCTCCGCTCCGATCGCGGATATTCCAGGGAGGGGAGGTAACGTTAATAACGCGGCCTGATATTAATTCTTGATTTTACGAAAAGTGCACGTTGTTCGTTAATGGAGGCCCCGTTGGAACCCGGCCGCGCGTTTAGAGATTTGCATATCGGTATTATAGCCGATGTCGCCCCGCTAGGTGGAAATAATTATTATCGCGGGCCGTGTCACTGGATTTTAAAGCAGTTTACGGTATGCGTTGCACTTTTCCGTCCGCGTAGCGGCCATCTGGGAAATTACCGCGATCCGACACGAGAGACCCTCTCCGGGTGTTCGACATCCGCTCGTATTGACGCAATTCCTCTCTGCCGTTCCCCATATTTCGTCTTTAACTTCTGACCAGGACAAACCGTTCTCGTTCGTTGATAAAAATAACCCCTTTACGCCGACCACCAGGCGCCACCGCGGACCGGGAAAAATATTCCCATCCGGAGGCGGAAATTATTAGAGATAAAAGGCGCGAAACCGCTGCGGGGAAGGAACAAAAAGAAACACCCTTTTGTAGAGCTACCTCAAGGTCCGCTCCAATCCGAGTCATCGTGACAAGAACTGTCGCCGTGAGTCGTTAACGTCGCAGCCAGAAAAGTCCATAGGTGGCAGGAAAAGTTTTGAACGGCACGGGAATGTTGCGGCATTAGCAACCTCGAAGAAGACCGGGAAGTGTAAGCTTCTCGAGCCTCTTCGGCAAATGCCGTCGGAAGGCATAGTCCTAATACCCTTCAAGTTTTACGCGCGTCTCCGATAAGCGATCTCGGGAGTCGAAGGAGAAACGACCGGATCCCCGAAAATGACTCGAGGAAAGGATATATTTCCAATTTTTATTTTCATTTAATTTCCACTCGCGCTCCAATTTCCGTTGCACCTCCGCTTCGTTGGCTCCCGTCGCACCTGGTCCCGATTCTGATTCCGCATTCAATCAGCGCATCCATTTAATGCACCTTTTTTACCGATGCAACGACGTTACCGGAGACCGTAGGTTCGGAGCGCGGCCGCTCCCTGTCTCTCTATACGGATACATATTCAATGCGGTTCAAGGTATATTTTTTTTCCGGGCCGGTGCGTTCCCTTTCAAAAAAATCAGTGATTTCCTCGCCGGTAACGAGGGCCGGGCCCTCCGGGCCGAGCTCGGTATAAGGACCTTTCCTCCTTTGTAAGCAAGACCCGCCCTCCGCGAGCAAGCTTTCCGCAAGCTTCCAGGTGTCCTGGGCTTCTCGTGGAAACCATCGACGACCCACATTTTCCGGACGTCGAGGGATGATTTTTCCGAAATCGTGACGCCGGCACGTGTCCTCGAAGGCGATCGAAATAAATTTTCCCGAATTTCCGCACTGCGACTCCGGCCTCCACCCTTCATCCGGCGCGGCGTGGCGACGAGGGATCGACTCGTCCGCAAATACCCTCCATAATTTATTCCTTGGGCTATTTAAATACCCTAATTATTTGACTGGTCGGAGGAGTCCCTTCCTCCAAAAGTCGAAAAAGCCCCTCAAAGGTGCAATGAAATTACAAGCCGGGGAGAGACAATTTCCCGATCAAATG